AACTGTTCGGATACACCTGTACTTGTAATCATTACAACCAGGTGAAAACTGATAGGATACACCTGTACTTGTAATCATTACAACCAGGTGAAAACTGTTCGGATACACCTGTACTTGTAATCATTACAACCAGGTGAAAACTGATAGGATACACCTGTACTTGTAATCATTACTACCAGGTGAAAACTGTTCGGATACACCTGTACTTGTAATCATTACAACCAGGTGAAAACTGATAGGATACACCTGTACTTGTAATCATTACAACCAGGTGAAAACTGTTCGGATACACCTGTACTTGTAATCATTACTACCAGGTGAAAACTGTTCGGATACACCTGTACTTGTAATCATTACAACCAGGTGAAAATTGTTCGGATACACCTGTACTTGTAATCATTACAACCAGGTGAAAACTGTCAGGATACACCTGTACTTGTAATCATTACAACCAGGTGAAAACTGTTCGGATACACTTGTACTTGTAATCATTACAACCAGGTGAAAATTGTTCGGATACACCTGTACTTGTAATCATTAAAACCAGGTGAAAACTGTTTGGATACACTTGTACTTGTAATCATTACAACCAGGTGAAAACTGATAGGATACACCTGTACTTGTAATCATTACAACCAGGTGAAAACTGTTCGGATACACCTGTACTTGTAATCATTACAACCAGGTGAAAACTGTCAGGATACACCTGTACTTGTAATCATTACAACCAGGTGAAAACTGTTCGGATACACCTGTACTTGTAATCATTACAACCAGGTGAAAACTGTTCGGATACACCTGTACTTGTAATCATTACAACCAGGTGAAAACTGTTTGGATACACCTGTACTTGTAATCATTACAACCAGGTGAAAACTGTCAGAATACACCTGTACTTGTAATCATTACAACCAGGTGAAAACTGTTCGGATACACCTGTACTTGTAATCATTACAACCAGGTGAAAACTGTTCGGATACACTTGTACTTGTAATCATTACAACCAGGTGAAAATTGTTCGGATACACCTGTACTTGTAATCATTACAACCAGGTGAAAACTGTTCGGATACACCTGTACCTGTAATCATTACAACCAGGTGAAAACTGTTCGGATACACCTGTACTTGTAATCATTACTACCACGTGAAAACTCTTATGACACACAGGTACTTGTGATCATTACAATATTTCATGGTTACACTAAATCTAGAATTCAAAATGTTGAGGGACTGTTCTGCAAAGCACAAAATCCAATGCCCACAATAAGGTGATGTGTGGAGAAACCACAATGACTGAGCCCCTCAAAAATGTTAAAATTTTACAGTATACAGTACTTAGGAAAAGCTTTTAGAACAAGTATGTGCAACAGTTTAGTTTCACCTAAAACCAGAAATCATTTTAAGAATGCATGATGCATAAAGACGTGTCATAGCTTTGTTTACAACCATGTTTGAAGGTCATCATAAAAGTAGCCATGACTTACAACCTATGATATATCCAAGGTTTACTAAAATGACCATGTAGTGTGTGAATTTGCCTTGTGTATGACGTCAGCTACATCAACATTCGGAAGTTAGGATGTAATCTGATTTAACAGTGTAATCTATACACACCAAGTTGACATTTCTGAACCGGAATGTTGTATATGAATGACCTTACAGTACTGAGAAGCATTTGCCTTATTTGTCTATTATGTAATTTACACAGTGGTTGTATCATTCATATTGACGTCACAATTTGTACACCACACTATATACATAGGGAGTGTCCTCTACTGATGGGAAAACTCGGATAAGACACTCCCTAGCTTTCAAAACATAATTCAACTAACCAATATTTTTGTGGTATTGTAAACAATGTGTGATAAAGGAAGGAAATATTGTGTAATCAGCTTTAGCCTCTTATATTGTTGTCACTTTCAAGGGTTTTTAAGTCTTGATGCAGACCTCTGAATACCACCAGGAGACCTTGAGATATTTGTCCAACATTGTTCCAGTAATGATCTTGACAAACTTCCAAGTGTTCAACTGTATGAAAACTTTTAGACAACATCTTCTGTATATCCAACTTTCGGCCTAGGGTTAGAGATATTGGGTAAATAGTATGCTGGAAGCTCATCCAGAAGAATAACATTGTACCACCTTCAAGGTTACAGAGATAAAAAAAATCAAGTCTTTCTGTTGACTCCTGAAGACAATTTGTATAACAGGTAAATGACCCTGGACCTCTTTCATGGTCACAGGAGTTCAAAGTGAAAAAAAATTCTGATATCAAGATACCAATGACAATGTCTTGTAATGCAGTACACAAGTATAAGTGAATTTAACTCTCCGTGTATTTATATATGTTCACAGAGCTTAATTGTGTTTAATCAATAACCTTGAGCTATTTTCAAGGTCAAACATTTTCATGAATGACCTTAATGTATTTTCAAGATCACAGGGGTTAAAGGTGTTTAATTAATGATCTTGAGCTATTTTCAAAGTCAAACATTTTCATGAATGACCTTAATGTATTTTCAAGATCACAGGGGTTAAAGGTGTTTAATAAATGGCATTGAGCTATTTCAATGATTTCTGGGTCAAATGTTTTTGTATTAATGATATAAAGTCATAACCATGGGACTTAAAAGCATCTAACTGGATGACATTGAAATACCATGTATATCAAAGGTCACAGGGTCAATGACCTTGAGCTGAATTTAAGGTCAAAGGGTCAAATATATTCAGTGACCTGTAGATTACAGATGTCTGATATGTTAAACCAAACATGATAAAAAACACATCAATTGTACCTAACTGGAGTAAGATTACATTTTAGGATAAAGTTCTTTTGGCCTTGTCAGGTGATGCATTAAGTAGATCATCATGGCTGCATGTTTATGTTTTGTTTGTTAGATGTTGGAGAACCTGTATTACCAAGAAATTTTGTCTGCTACATTTATATCTTCTTTTCTATATTAGAATTTGAAGAAGGTGATTTAAATTTGATAATAGGTATACATTTCAGTGTACTGATAAGGATAGAGTTTAGTGGTCTGAAGTGAAAGGTGACTGAAACTGAAGGAGTTTTCTTGACACTGCAGTAAACACTTACTACATTAATAACATTGGTTTACTATTACAACTGCCAACCCCATCTAGGTCATCCAAGGTCACACAAGTCAGGATGTAGGCCTATAAAAATAGCATCTTCATCATTTATCTCATACAGAATGTTGGATATTCTGTATAGCAAGGAGTTGAAATCAACAGCTGGATGACTTCAGACATTTAATGTTTATTTATTTTCACACTCAGTTTGTTTTTTATAGTTGGAATATTCCTCTGAATTAGCTCCATGATTTACTGTGTCAGATGCAAGGTTGTGTTTATCTCTGTGTGGTAACATTGTTAACTAGTCTCAGAGTCACTGTTCTGGTCAAAGTAAATATTTTTGGTTCTGAATGAAGTAGATCTGACAGAGTAAAACAGTAGGTTTTATCATATTGTAACATTGTTTTAAACTAGTCTCAGAGTCCTAGACAGGAAAGGAGTAAACATTTCAGGTAATATTGTTAACACAGCTAGGGCACAGGGTCTGTATGAAGCAGACAGGGTAAACAATAGGTCTTGTTGTGCTGTACTATTGTAAACGAGTCTCAGAGTCATAGCTTGGGCTGAGGGAAATGTTTCAGGTTGTATATGAAGAAGACCTGACTTGTTATGTTGTAACACTGTCAGACCCTATAAAGGTCACGGCTATGGTAGGTTCCTTACTGTATCTATCTAAAAACCCTGGTCTGGTAATAACACTACCAATATAATGCTGCTGTTTTGTAGCAATACATGTACCAGCAGTAATACTGAACATTTTCGTCAGGTTGGAAAGTAAGGATTATGTAAAGATTCTTTATACACAACCAGGAATTTTAATATGTGACGTTTCGGTGACCAGTACGATCCGTACGCTGTCACCTTCCTCAGACAAATGACCAGTAAAAGCATGTACACAAAGGTGTGATATGTGTACGAGTTGTCGTGGAATAGCGTCGATTTCGGACATGCTGACAAGTGCCGAAATGACTGTTAGCGAATAGTAAAACCATTCGGCTACGCTTATTTTATTACTTGGTCATAGATGTGCGTAAAACCATGTGATTGACTGGGAAAACTCAAAGGTGCTCGATAGGGAGAACCATCTTCTGAAGCGACAGATCAAAGAAGCCATCTGGATACGCCGCAGCGGGGCAATTCTGAACCGAGATGAGGGGGCTCATAGACTCTCGCACATCTACATCTGTTAGCGAATAGTAAAACCATTCGGCTACGCTTATTTTATTACTTGGTCATAGATGTGCGAGAGTCTATGAGCCCCCTCATCTCGGTTCAGAATTGCCCCGCTGCGGCGTATCCAGATGGCTTCTTTGATCTGTCGCTTCAGAAGATGGTTCTCCCTATCGAGCACCTTTGAGTTTTCCCAGTCAATCACATGGTTTTACGCACATCTATGACCAAGTAATAAAATAAGCGTAGCCGAATGGTTTTACTATTCGCTAACAGTCATTTCGGCACTTGTCAGCATGTCCGAAATCGACGCTATTCCACGACAACTCGTACACATATCACACCTTTGTGTACATGCTTTACTGGTCATTTGTCTGAGGAAGGTGACAGCGTACGGATCGTACTGGTCACTGAAACGTCACATATTAAAATTCCTGGTTGTGTATAAAGAATCTTTACATAAACATGTACCAGCAGGTTTCATTGGCCTGTATCAAATCCCCCCCATGACTTTAAGTCAGAGGTATGTTGGCCATCTTTTTTTTTTATTACATTTGAAGGATTATAATTCTTCATGCATAAAATTTTTCACTTACAAATATCATCATAATTATAGAAATGCATTATGTCCCTCTTATATCTTAGTATATCTTCACCGTGATCCGTTCATATGACATGATTATTTTTTAATATGTAAGTATGTGCAATGTCCTTTATATTAATTTTTTTTCAGTGTTTGCCAAAGGCCAGATGATGACGGGTCAGTACAGGTTCCTGGTCAAGCAGGGTGGATATGTTTGGGTCATCACTCAGGCCACTGTTATTTACAACAACCGCACACAGAAGCCCCAGTGTATTGTTTGTGTTCACTATGTCACAAGGTATGTATATCATGTGTCTTTTTCAGGTATCTCCATGTAAATCTTTCTTTTGCTCATATTTTGCCATAGAGTTATGGAATTTGAGTTTGGATTATAGTTATGTTGACATACTGGTATTTTCTTATTGTTGTTGTTTTTCAAAAAACGTTCTACTGTAGAAGGAAATAGCTGGTGTCTTTAGACAGGTTCTAATGGCAGACAGAAGGATGGTTAAAGTTATCTTCAGATAGGTTTATATTAGATGTTGAAAAGGTCAAGGTCACTGCTATTTATATAAAAAATTCAAGTGATGTTAATAAATTGTAGTTGTAATATTTCTTCAAAATTTTAGTCTAATGCTTCATATTTCAGTGGAGTGGAACAGGACAACATAATTTTGTCAGATGTACAACATGCTGAGGTCAAGAAAGAAGTGAAGAAGGATGTGAAGGAGGTTATCCAGTGGAGCTTTGGACCAAGTACAAAGGATGTGTTTGTCAGGAAGACCGATGAAGATGAGAAGGCGGAATTCTACTTCTCTGAAGAGGTTCCTAAATGTGAGTTCCATGAATGTTGTTAAATTGTCACCTAAGTAGTGCAGTTTATATATTAAATACATGCCCCAACTTCTAAAATACTTCTATCAAAGTTCAACATAACACTTTGTCTGGGTGGAAGATTATTTTCTGCAATTCATTTTATTTTTCAATTTTAATGATGGATAAATTAGTTTAGGTTTTTCTTTGATGAAGGAAGAAATGTCTGCCGTACTGCTCTAGAACTACATGTATGTTATTTGCTTGTGTAGAAGGTTCCTCTCATCGATGTGAAAAAAAATTATGGGTAGTTCTATGGGTATTTCTATGGGTATTTCTGTGGGTATTTCTATGGGTATTTCTGTGGGTATTTCTATGGGTATTTCTATGGGTGTTTCTGTGGGTATTTCTATGTGTGTTTCTATTGGTGTTTCTATTGGTGTTTCTATGGGTATTTCTATTGGTGTTTCTATGGGTATTTCTATGGGTGTTTCTATTGGTGTTTATATGGGTGTTTATATCGGTGTTTCTATGGGTATTTCTATGGGTGTTTCTATGGGTGTTTCTATGGGTGTTTATATCGGTGTTTCTATGGGTATTTCTATGGGTGTTTCTATGGGTGTTTCTGTGGGTATTTCTATGGGTGTTTCTATTGGTGTTTCTATGGGTGTTTCTGTGGGTATTTCTATGTGTGTTTCTATTGGTGTTTCTATGGGTGTTTCTGTGGGTATTTCTATTGGTGTTTCTATGGGTATTTCTATTGGTGTTTCTATGGGTGTTTTTATGGGTATTTCTGTGGGTGTTTCTATGGGTGTTTCAATGGGTTTTTTCTATGGGTGTTTTTATGGGTATTTCTATGGGTATTTCTATGGGTGTTTCTATGGGATGTTTCTATGGATGTTTCTATGGGTGTTACTATGGATGTTTCTATGGGTGTTTCAATGGGTTTTTCTATGGATGGGTGTTACTATGGATGTTTCTATGCGTGTTTCAATGGGTATTTCTATGGATGTTTGTATGGGTGTTTCTGTGGGTATTTCTATGGGTGTTTCTATGGGTGTTTCTATGGGTATTTTTCCCTTTTATTAGAAAGAAGCTTATATTGTTATTACTTAATAACTTTATGATTAATTTTCCTCAATTTATTTTCAGCTTGCCAGAAACAAATGGATCTTCAGCATCTCGCTCCCATGGCAGGTGACGCATGCGTACCTTTGAATACAACTTTTTTCAAGGGTATGTGCAATATGTTAATAAAAATTGCTTTGAAAAGAGTCAAGATATTCTGTATTACAGTTGTGTTTTACTTTCGATGATCCCACTTAATAGCCTCCTGGGATAAGAAACTACCTGTTGTTGACAGACCTCTTTAAATCTTTCTGTTGCTGTTAATTTCTTTGTCTATGTTCAGATACTTATTTGTAGACTCATATTCGGAATTGACTGTTGTTGAAATGATTTTACATTAGTTACCAGTATAAACCAGAAATGTATATTAGAGGAAATAAAGAAAAAGATAAGAATTTATTGTAAAACAACACAATTCCCAAAGATACCAATGACATAACATCACCTTCTGATCTCTCAAACCTGTTTTCCTGGTGTTTGGTTTGCACTTCTGTCAGTTAGTCCAGCAATGCACAAGTCATACTTTGATTTGAATTGCATTATTCTATAAAGTGTTTCTATAACTGTTTGTTAGTAATTATTTAGTATAAGGTTATGATAATGAGATCAGTTTGGTCAATGTTTATAGTACAAAAACTTAAACAGGTTGAATATTTATGATAGGACAAGCTAAGCAAGAGCAAGGCAATGACCAGCAAATGGTGATACTGAAGGAAGAGCCAAGAATGACATTGTGTAGTGGAAACGACCCGAAAATGATCAGCCCAGCCAGTACAGCTTGCTCGACTCCTCTGGCAACGTCCCCTATGGTCAGTGTTCACATCTGTTATCATTTCCCATATACCTCATTTTTACTTCCAGCAGTCACTGTTGACAGAATTTGGATGGTGTCTGTAGGTTTGAACTCCTATGTATTCACATTTTTATCAAAATTGTCTTGGGAACCACTCAATATATACTTGTTAGTATCATAACATCATATTCTACACCTGATCAGATTCTGGTTCACACCTACCCTATAGTATCATAACATCATGTTGAACACCTGATCAGATTCTGGTTCACACATACCCTATAGTATCATAACATCATGTTCTACACCTGATCAGATTCTGGTTCACACTTACCCTATAGTATCATGACATCATGTTCTACACTTGATCAGATTCTGGTTCACACTTACCCTATAGTATCATAACAACACATTCTACACTTGATCAGATTCTGGTTCACACTTGCCCTTTAGTATACGAACATCATGATCTACACCTGATCAGATTCTGGTTCACACTTACCCTTTAGTATCATAACATCATGATCTACACTTGATCAGATTCTGGTTCACACTTACCGTATAGTATCATAACATCATGTTCTACACCTGATCAGATTCTGGTTCATACTTGCCGTATGGTATCATGACATCATGATCTACACTTGATCAGATTCTGGTTCACACATACCCTATAGTATCATAACATCATGATCTACACCTGATCAGATTCTGGTTTGCATGAAAGGAGTGGGGGAATACCTGTCTTACAAACATTTGCTAGGTGTAGAAGTTGTGTCACAAAACTTAAGACGCATAGTTTTATATGTCTTACAGCACAGCCCAACTCCACCGATTACTGACGACTTCCTGATCACAATAAACCCGGCTGATATCGTGGCCATGGACCAGTTTTTCACTACTATGGATATGACACAAATGCAGATGACTGATGGCTGCATACCAGGGGAGGTAAGCATTGTAGACTGTTACAGAATGGACATAATCACCTGGTGACAAATCCAGGGGAGGTAAGCATTGTAGACTGTCACAGAATGAATATAACCACCTGGTAACACATCTAGGGGAGTTAAGCATTGCAGACTGTCGTAGAAAGGACAAAATCACTTGGTGACAAATTCAGGGGAGGTAAGCATTGTAGACTGTCATAGAATGGACAAAATCACTTGGTGACAAATCCAAGGGAGGTAAGCATTGTAGACTGTCTCAAAATGGACATAATCACCTGTTGACAAATCCAGGGGAGGTAAGCATTGTAGACCGTTACAGAATGGACAAAATCACTTGGTGACAAATCCAGGGGAGGTAAGCATTGTAGACTGTCACAGAATGAATATAACCACCTGATAACACATCCAGGGGAGGTAAGCATGGTAGATTTACAGAGACATCACCACCTGGTTACACATCCAGGGGAGGTAAGCATGGTAGATTTACAGAGACATCACCACCTGGTAACACACCCAGAGGAAGTTAATGAACGGAACTGTTTTTGATGTTAAGACATTAGTAATAAAGTTCGGTTACACACAAGTTTATATTTTTGGGTACAATGGTGACTGGAGTATCAACTGGGAAACGATGGTTGATACCAGTATAATCAGATAAATTAATGAATCATTTCTGTCTTTTGTACCAAAAACCTTGACATTTATGTTATATCCACCTTTATTTTGTTACAGGAAATTGACATGGACACCAGAGCTCCTTACATACCAATGGACTCAAGTGATGACTTTAGCCTGCTTCCTCCAGCACCTGATGAGCTTTTTAACCTCAACGGAGACTTCAATCCAGGGTGAGTCCTGTAAAGACATCAAAACAATTGTTTGAGTTTTGTTCATGAACTATTTTAACTTTCATTGTGTATCTGTGAAATAAAAGTAATTGGTTGATAAGAAAATTTGTCATAAACGTCTTTATTTTACCACTTGTTACGATGATCAGTAAAACTGGAAGTACCACTACTTCTACAACAACTGAAACAATCCTAATGGTCAGATGCTTTCACAGTGATCAATTTAAGAGGGGTCAAGGTCACTTTTACTACTTAGAGAAATTCATCAAATATTGATTTGCATGAAAACAGGGTATTTATGTCTTAGGGACATTATTTAGCTTATCAGTAGATTTTATTATTCACAATCTCTTAAGAAGTACAAGTGTAATTTTTTTTCTTTTTAAGTAATTTTTTGGTCTAAGATAGAAAATAAATCTGCTAATGTGTATTATTATTTATTATCTTTATTGTTTTAAGACTCTTTGGCCGCACCGAATCAGTTTTCACCTCAAGAGACAAGCTTTTCCCTGAGGATCCCCCACAAAAACGACGTCCAAGTCTGTGGGATATAATGGAAGGAAGTACAACGGTAGCCAGAATCAAACGACCTGTTGACAATGGTATTATGCAAATGAAACGGCCACTGGATCAAACCAACCAGGAAAAAGGACCACCAATCCCTAAAAGGAGTTGTCCTGATATAGGAAATAAGTCACTGAATCAAGGTGAGTTGGTTTGTTATACTTATGTAAATATGTTTACCTTATGGTAAATAAAGTAGGCCATGGTACTTAGGGTAAAGAGAATGCAGTTCCCCTAAGATATAGAATTTATTCCTTCCGAAGGTTGTTGGCATGTTGCAAATGTAAGTCTTATGAAAAATGGTAACAGTAATTTGGGCATGTACGTGTATCCGGGGGTTATAGTGTCTCTAATATGTGACAGTAATAGTACATTTGGGGGGGGAGGGGGTTCAGAAGGTTATATTGTCTTACTAACATCACAGTAATAGTACATTTGGTGGGGGAGGGGGTTCAGAAGGTTATATTGTCTTACTAACATCACAGTAATAGTACATTTGGAGGGGGGGAGGGGGTTCAGAAGGTTATATTGTCTTACTAACATCACAGTAATAGTACATTTGGGGGGGAGGGGGTTCAGAAGGTTATATTGTCTTACTAACATCACAGCAATAGTACATTTGGGGGGGGGAGGGGGTTCAGAAGGTTATATTGTCTTACTAACATCACAATAATAGTACATTTGGAGGGGGGGAGGGGGTTCAGAAGGTTATATTGTCTTACTAACATCACAGTAATAGTACATTTGGGGGGAGGGGGTTCAGAAGGTTATATTGTCTTACTAACATCACAGCAATAGTACATTTGGGGGGGGGGAGGGGGTTCAGAAGGTTATATTGTCTTACTAACATCACAATAATAGTACATTTGGAGGGGGGGAGGGGGTTCAGAAGGTTATATTATCTTACTAACATCACAGTAATAGTACATTTGGGGGGGGGAGGGGGTTCAGAAGGTTATATTGTCTTACTAACATCACAGTAATAGTACATTTGGGGGGGAGGGGGTTCAGAAGGTTATATTGTCTTACTAACATCACAGTAATAGTACTTTTGGGGGGAGGGGGTTTAGAAGATAAAAATCTAATTTGATTTTGTTTTTTTCTGTAATTAACAGGACAATTAGGCAGTGACAGTGTTCTCATGAATTTACTTTTAACTGGCGAAGATCGCTCTTATGGATATAGTGTATATAACACACAAAACGAAAAAGCAGCAAATTCACGAAAAATAAAACAGGTATGTGTGGCCAAGTAGGATGTTGTGTGTGACCGATTCCTGTTAAGATTTCTGTCTTTTACTTTTTCAGTAAATTAGTACATGGTATTTATGTATATTTTGCTACCTTACATATCATACTTGTGATTTGTATTAGAGTAAAGGCTATATCCTACCTTATGTTAGAGTTAAGGTTGTATGCTACCTAACACATTATACCTGTAATTTGTATTAGAGTTAAGGTTGTATGGAACTTTACACATTATATCTGTGATTTATGTTAGAGTTAAAGTTGTATGCTACCTAACACATTATACTTGTGTGATTTGTGTTAGAGTAAAGGTTGTATGTACTTGTTTGTGCTATTATGCTTTCTGTTATCGCCTTAGGTGATTTAACAATTCTCAGCAATATCTGTATATGTTGGTATTTTGGTAATTTAAATTTGTATATCAAGGGGTCATGCCTTTCTACTTTATGTGAAAGGCATTTTGTATGTGTTGATGTTTACACAAGGTTTATCCAATAAATTATAATCTAGCATACATATATCAAACTTTGTTGATCCTGTTTCACTTCTCTTTGTTTCAGTTACCAACGAGTACTTCAAATTGGAGGGCCACAAAATGTGCTTTTCTTCCTAAGATAACACAGCATGATTGTGAAGTCAATGCACCATCTCACCCTAACGACGGCTTGCTTCAGGGAGATGCTATAATACAAGCATTAGATAGAGATGCTTTTCCTTTGCAAATTATTTGAAATTTACCGATATAAGAGCCCAAGATTTGTTTTCCATTATAAGAGCTCTATCGGTGAATAGACAATGTCAAGTGTTTTTTTTTTTTTTCTGAAGATTTTCTCAAGCTTCTTTCTAATGCAGATTTACCTTTAACACAAGATTTGACATGAAACAGATTTTTGTTCTTGATCTTTTGGACTCTATGCTATGCATATTGTAGCTTGTTCTAAGGTTTAAATGAGAAAAGGAGCTTGATTTGTAATGAGGATTATTTTATTTGACCAGCATTTGTTGATATATTTTTGTGGTTTTTGATTATGGTATTGATATTGTTTTTACTTGACACTGTATTGTTTTCTGTATCTGTTATCTAGTTTTCTGTGTATATCAGCTGTACTTTTCTGATGGATTCTGTTGGCTTAATGACCCCATTTTCAGACAGTGCCTTTCGACATGAAGATTAGAATTCATTTTTTCATTTGATGATTTGTTTGTAAACAACACCACATACCACTCATTTTGTATGAATTCACTCTCATTTCAAATCATGGTTATCATCTTTTCATCATCGTATTCTGGCTTACATTAACAAGCAGAAATATTCATTTTTATCTTTTCAAACTTGCTGAAATGGGAAAAAAATAGAAAAAAAATTAAATAAAAAGAAAAAAAAAAAGAAAAAAAAAAGAAAAAAAGGGAAAAAAAACCCTATAAAAGACCTGTGGAATGATTATATGAGAACAAGCTGACTTTTTTTTTTAAAGAAAGAAGAATAGAACCATGCTTATATACAAACATTTTGATTTTTCCAAAGAAAATAGCTTCACTATAGATTTTTCTTGATTTCTGTAAAGATAATTAACATTGATAGACCAGTGTTTATGGTTTATGTTTATTGGATTTTGGAGGTTGGTGAAATTTGAGATTATATATTTTATCATTATATTGCATGATGTATATAGCACTGTATATTTGTGATTATCTACTAATTACCTACATCCTATATACTGATAAGAAGCAGTAGGTTTATTGTTAATTACCGTGTATTTGTACCTTTTTGAGCGCTATATATTTTACGTACATTACATAAATAGTCACAATTCTTTACTGAAATCTGATCTGAAGAAAATTCAGAAAAAAAAACATTTTAGTCCATTAAATCTTAAAACAAAAGGGGGATTATTTTTCTTAACCTTGGAAAAAAGTAAAACCTAACCCACACAGTACTGTGAATATGTATTTTTATGATTACATAATGCAAGATCAGAAAATTTGATAATCAGTTGTTATAATTGTCAGCATTGTGAGCAGTAATTTTACAAATCTGTGTACTTTCAAAGATCTTATCATTTGAATTTTTTTTAAGGAGATGGGATGGAAACCAATCAGATTACAGCTGGGTTATGTTTTATATAGGAGTCTTTAGAAAGATTGGGGGGAGGGGGTATTGTTGAACAGACATTTAAATTCTGTTCAGATGTCGAAAAGGTAAATTAATGGAAAGAATTTGTTTGGTATTTCATTTTTTTTATTTTACAATTTTGTGGAATTAATTAAAGATAACTTTCTGCTTTTGAAATTTTTACTTGGAAGAGAAATCTATATTGCTTAACAGATAATAACAACCATTTGGACCTATCACCCCGTTGGGAGCCCCATGTTGACCTTGATATGATTTACCTATTTTCTAAGGATGTGCAGGTGTACATGTTTTGTTTTGAAAAATTGTGTAATTGTGGTAGAGTAAAATAGGTTATTTTTGCAGGACAAGATTTTAATCAAAATGAATGTAAATTAGATTTTTTGGATATGAATGTTTATTCTTTGCTTTAATTAGTAAACAAAATAATTATAGTCCTGACTTACTTTTGATACATTCATCCAGTTACATATAGTCTGTTCCAAAAAAGTACATTTTTCAAAATTTTATAAGCTGCATAGTGATGAAGCTAATATAACTACAGTATAGGTTAATTATAAACATCATAACTTGACCGTAAATTTATGCTGTCAGTACAGTATGAGTGTTAGAGGTGACAACAAATATATTCTAACCAAATGTTGATGGGTGCAATTTTGACCAAAAAATTACTAGTATTTCGTTGCCGTTCATATTACTAGTAGGTGAGGTTAAATTCATTCAGTGTTTAAGACAGCTGTTTAATGAACCGTGGAAAGTCGTTCATATTACTAGTAGGTGAGGTTAAATTCATTCAGTGTTTAAGACAGCTGTTTAATGAACCGTGGAAAGTCGTTCATATTACTAGTAGGTGAGGTTAAATTCATTTAGTGTTTTAGACAGCTGTTTAATGAACCGTGGAAAGTGTGTTAAAAAATGATAGAATCAGTAGATCAGATTATGAAAAATAAAGAAGAAAATCATACATCATGATAATTTCATAAGCAGGTTCGTTTTCATGTTAATATTGTATTATGTGTGTTACTATTTTTAGGTTATAGGTAACTTAGTAAAGTTTCAACCTGTTGTTTTGACTTTCAATCTTATATGGTTTACAGATCTGTTTTAGAATAAACAATGAAATTTGTATTATCTAATTGGATGTATGTTACTGGTATATTTTCACTAGTTTGTTCATTACCAGACAATTTACAATGGTGATGAATTGCAGACTTCGTAATATTTGATATTTAAGTGGTGATATCAGAGCAAGTGAGATTTCATTTAGGATTGATATGCTTTAAAAGCCGAACAGACAAGTAGGTTCTGATGTTAAATCTGTCTGGATATCAGGAGTTTGATCTATCTGAGTAAATTATTCTGCTATGAAGTATAATGTAGTGTAAATAAGCCCAGTGGATGTTAACAATGAATACCAACTTTCGTTAAACATACTTAATTGTTTAGTCAAGTTTTAGTATATGATAACTTTTGGCAAATAGTCCACTGGTGAATTCTGTAATAATAATCAGTCATACAGCTTAATTGCTTTTTTAGAAGTGGCAGATAGTTCAGTCATATTTTAGTAGAATACTTTCCACATGAAAAGTGCTGAAATATGTACAATTACTGATTACTACTGTGTTATAAACTTGAGGTTGGTTGAGGTGAACTTTATTTGATAACTGTATTGACAGATTAACTGGTTACCGAGTTAGTCAAAATTAACTGATTCAGGTGGGACACCTCAGCAGGAAAATTTTGCAGGACTAAACAATTTGTGTGGTGAGAGATATCGATGCTGTCTGATAGACAGATAATCAATAATTACCCACACCCACCTACTACACCAATCAGCACCCTGCACAATTGAGATTATCCTGGGAAATAGCATAGAAATTGCAAGTTTTCTTTATTTTTCACAGTTTGATATTCATGGTTTTCTCTCAAAAGTTCATTTAAATAATTCATAGCTAAGCAGGGTTTTTTTCTTCTTTTTGTCCAAGATTCAAGTTTTTATTATCATTATGAAGCATACAATTTTTGATCTTTGTCATTTAGTATTTGTCAACATGGAGGCAATGTCTTTGTTTTTGCTTTCACTTTTTTATTAATAGTTCATTGAAGATTTATGGGATATCAGTTATATGTATGATTTAATATGTAAACTGTATCACACTTCCATCATATTGTATATCATAGATTTTAACATTTACTTAACATAGTATAAATGTTGACCATATATAACTTTTTGACCATGAGAAACAAGACAGAAGATTATTTTGTAAATACTACAATTTCTCTGACAATGTAGATTTTTATGGTATTTTTTATGTATTATTTCAGAAAAGTAATTTTTCTGATTATGATGACAAATGATGCATGGAATCCTAGTTTTATCACACTTGATGAAGAAGTGTCCATATCCTTTTAAGAGATGATGTATCAGGGAGTTGATCTCCTGTTGAACAGATGTGCTTGTTGTCCTGTAGTGCAGTAACAATAAAACTAGAACTATTCTCTGTTCTTATTTTATCTACAGTTTCAACCAGACAAAAACTGATGTAAATACCCTGTACACAAGTGCTTCAGTCAACTTGTGGAGTGCTGAAATACATCAGTACCTGCTGAGCAGAAATTTATAGCTATCATCAACCATGAGTTTTTTTTTCTGAAAGATGCATCATATGTACGAATACTAAGATAAAACAATATTATTTCTCAACTGGTAAGGTTAGACTGGCATCAATACAACAATGTGCTACATCTACCAATGTAAAGAGCTGGTTGTGCCTATAAAATGAGCCTCATCAACAAACATTGTAACAAAAGGCTGAATATTTTACTAATTTGTCAGAAATCTGAAGATATCCCAACACATTTGCTTTCTGTAGACACTAATACAATGTACATGTGCTTCACCACTGTTGCACATTCCCTCCTGTGTGCTTTTCTAGTTTATCAGTGCAAATTGAACTATCATATCAGTAGTGTGGCGCATTCAGAACTTTTGAGATGAAGGTTGAAGATACCTGATAACATCTCTGATAAATGTCAAAACAACATGACCTTTTGGAACCTGGAACTGTCTTGGTGGTTTGTTTTGTAAGCACTTGTATGTTTGGAAAATTTGACATTTGGTTTTTAGGTGGTATAACCGGAGAGTCAGAATGGCTTACAGCCACCATGTTTCATTTGTCATTGTGCACCATGCATTTTGCAACTTTCAATTCTAATGACTTCGTTTTAATAAACTGAAAAATGGGTTTGTATTTATTGGGCCTGTGGCATGGTTGGATGAAGTGCAATTAAAATTGTTAAAGTGAATGACTTTGAGCCCCTTTCAAGGTCACAGAGGTAGATATAAAATATGTTGAAACCTTTACATAACTTCATCTCAATAACCAAATTGCCCATTTTGCTGATATTTGGCTTGTAGCATCCTGGTATGAAGGGCTACTAAGTTGTTAAAATGAATGAACTTGACCAACTAGGAAGGTCACAGGAATAAAATGTGTCAAATTCTTTAAACCATTTCTTCTAATTAATGAAAAGGTCCATGGTGCTGATATTCGGCATGTAACATGCTGGAATGAAAGGCTATGAAGGTTGTTTAATGGAATTACCTTGACCCACTTTCAAGGTCACATAGGTCAATAGTGTTAATATCTTAAAACGACTTCCTCTCAATAACCTTTTGAACGGGTTTCAAATAAATGAAAACATGACATGAGGGATTACGGCACAACGTTTGGAATAAAGGTTATCAGCATATTATACTCTCTGCAATCTCTAAGTAATTTAAAATAATTTGATTTCCCTTCCTGGTATGCATTTATACGACTACAATGTAAAACCTAATACGAGTTGCTTCCCTTGGGCCAAAAACCACGGAAGTCTAATTAGTGTTGGTAGAGCTATGAAATCTCAAGGGGATCCCCTTCCCACCGTGTGGAGGTGTAGAATGCTGATGACCGTTCGTCTTTAAACAAAATTGATAATAAACTAGAGGTCATATCGTCCTTTAGATATTAATGTTGAGAACATGCCCGTGACAATTGTGCCTCGTTAGAGCACAGGTTTTGTACATTGAGCGCAGAAAGAATTAATTGGTTTTTTTTTTTTCTTTTTTTTTCGGAAAAGTGTTTTTGACATGTAATTAGATGTCAACACTGTTAACACGTTTTTTACTCTTATAATTTCCAGAGGCAGTTTATTGATCTGACAGAATGTTTTAACATCAGAGAAATTCACTGTCACAAACAAGAATTACAAGTACAAATCATCCAATGTCAAAGCGTTTTTCTAATGGTGTTGTGGCTGCGAAAAATCCCTCACTATTAATCAGCTGTCTTCGTAGCTCCATGTTTATAAGTTTGATGTTCTTTCACAAACGTCTTGTGTTGTGAACCGTCAAAGTCATTTCAAGCCAAAATCCAAAAAGAAAAGATTAAGTCATTATAAATTCTACACAGTGGTTGATGGAGGACACTAGAACGCAATTGTCGCCAGCACTGTGGACATATAACAACCTTATCACAATAAGATGTTTGTCTATAAAGCTTTGTCGATTATATTGACCCTAAATGTTATAACAATCTTATCACAATAACATGCTTGTCTATAAAGCGTTTATAACAACACTATTCAATGTTTATGTTTACAATGTAACCGAAATCTATGCCAGGGTTTGGCCAGAACGTGAAAAACACGAAACCTCAAACTCTTCATTCTTAAAAAATATTCAAGAGTTTATTATTGAATGAAGCGTTAAGAAAGAAACTTTCCTGATTTCTAATATAGCATAATTTGCTCTTGTGTGACGGAGAAAACCAAGACACGACCCAGATTGTGAAGTGTTTACAGCAACAATACACACGTTTTTGTTTTATCTTCGTGTTTATGATGTAGTCTAGTATAACTGGGATTGAATGGAGGGTCAATAACCAGGCTTAACCATAGGTTACTCGCGCCATAGTTGATGTCGCCTCAAAGAATGCGTTATTCTCCACTTTGCGATTTTATTGCGTGCTTTCCGCCGTGTTTTTTGGTATATATTGAAAAAAGTTATTCACTATTTTTTATAAACAACATATTCCTGAAGCTCTTTGCTGAAAACGAAAATCAGAACACAGTTTTTAAATTTAATCATTCATATTCCTCAACACACATGTAGATCCTTGAAAACCGATTTAAAATATATATGACAATAAAGATAGCATACCTGACGTCATGAATGGGACTGATTTTTTGTCGGAGTTGTGAGCCACGTGGACTAGTGGGTGTGTTCGTTCGAGTATTAAACTTATCGTCAGTAAGAATTGAATTGCTGATGTGTGTGTTGTGGAAATCCGTTCCCAAATGGGTCTTACTTCTGCTCCAATGTCTGATGGGTCAATCGAAACGTGTTCTTTCTGCTACGGTGGTGCCATCTAGAGACCAAAATGTGATTACAGAACACAGAACAGTGTTGCTAGTGACAAGCATACTTTGACAGACCCAACTGATCTCGTTAAGGTCCTGTAACTGACCACTTTTAAGTAGATTACCTCTACAATGCCACATGCAATGTCATATTGTACAAGTCGTCACGAACTTCTGTCTGTAGAATCCAGAATTTTTCGCTTCTTTATTGTAACTGACATGGTAGAATTTTACTGTTTAGTTTTATAGATGAAGATCCGGCATATCTACTCAAGGCGGTTTTGAATATAGTTACCTTAACAATAAGTCATTATCGTTACAAATTGGATGTCTACATTTGGTAATGATCATAAATGACTTTGATTTGTTTTATTACTTGACCAATCGGTAATACTATATTTTCGTATTATACAGCTAATGTCAAGAAAATGGACTATTTTATTTAAAAATAAACGTATTTATAGCCCACTTTGACGAAATAAAGCAATTAAATAATGGTTTCAATTCCAAAGTTATTATAGAGTATCAACTTAGTGACGACTATATGGAGACATTTCGACTCCACGCCAGGATGTAGATTATCGGTATAGAGAAGCTGTTCAGTCGATAGCTTGACCTTTCCTCTACCGTGGGAAATCGTCTGTCGTTTGCCCGTTTGACGCCAACTTTTTTCTGAACATCTTTCGTACCAGTACGTTAGGGAAAAGAATATTCCGTCAGATGTACACTGTGGGAAAGAGCTGTCAAACCTCTTTTAATGAATACCGGTGTCAAAAATCTTATCATCTCTAAATTAATCTTCTTAATAATTAACAGGCCAAAAAATAATAATATTTGGTCGGCGAAATACGTAGACAAGGGGCATTTGTGTTCAAGAACATAAGCGTGTTCATACCCGAATGATACAGGACCTTTCTCGCTGACGACCTTAAACTGCTTTCAAGGCCCTAGTGGAGTCATGATCCTGGTAATTAACTGTCAAAACTCTAGAACGAGGCTACTTTTCATTTGGGAACTTCCCCCATCAAATATTCTCTTTCGACAAAGAATCTTTTACAATATGTAACATTTTATTAAAACTTATATACAGACTTTGAAGTCTGTATAAGTTTGATCAGAAACAGGATACCGTTGCAAGCCCTTTACAGCTCTTAAAATTTCTTGTTTTTAATCTCAGCATGAACGCAATCATTGTTTGAAATCTGTTCTGTATCCTTCGACAGAAGTCATCAAAGTTTTGTTTTCCTTTTCGTATATATATGTATATACATATATAGAAGAAAACCAGTTTTCGCGGGAAATGAAACAGAAGTGTTCTGCTGTAACTGAGGTGTCAGATGTCAGGAATTCATCAAACTACATTTTCTTATCGTGTAAATCATCAGCATGGCTTCTATAATTTAGATAAAATCTTTATTTACTCAAAGAGATGTTTTGTTGAAAACAACAAAGGGATAAATCTTCACTCTTAGGGTTCTACCATTTCTATCCTCTGGGATATCAAATAACATGGACGATGATATGTTTCATCCTGCCGAGAAAATGTAAATGTACTTTAACACAATCAGATATAGTCGATTTTGATGAAGTGTGAAATCTATAGAACAACTGCGAACACGAGTGAAACAGTTCCGTCATATCTTCAGTGTCCGAATCAATGTGCTGAAGTAGGATATTTGTTTGTATATTAACGGGCGATTGTTTTTAAAGTTCAGGTTAAATTGCAGAATTATGTTTGTTTTTCACTCTGTTTGGTTTAGATACAAAAGCTTTATACATCCGAGTCAACAAAAATTATAAAGTTTTCAGATGTATATCTGAATGGGATTGCCAGGTACGCGAGTTCTGTCACGTTCTATAAAGATAGAGTAATGAGGGCCGAGTCATCAACAAGTCATTAACACTCGTCACAGGTTTTCCCTGATACACACGGAACTCCAATCACTACAATGTCCAGCAAACAAATCCGCTAAATGTCACGTGGGACATATCCTAATAACTAAAGTGGTTTTCTCATGTCCGGTTTTAAATCATTGATGATAAACATACATTGCTTTATAATTGGTTTTTTTTTTTTACATCCACTATCACAGAC